ACATATCAGTTGACTTCTACTCGTACACCATTAGTGACTCTCAAAACGTCTAACCAATATCTGATTTTAGTTCATGTTCACTGCAACATGTCCATAGTTACAGTGGCAATGGCAGCTGTTACCCTGACCTTTAGCTCCGTGGTGTTTGCCATATGTATACGATATCCTTAACATACCCCATACTTCTTAACTGTACTGGTGTCTGTAATTACGTTGCAACACAATCACTGACTTGGTCTCTGCAAGCCAAACGATGCACTGGGTCTTTTCTTGCACGCTTGTCATTTCACGGGGTAACACTACTCACTGGAGTAAAAAAAAACAAAAAAATATGACAATAAAAACTGTCTGAGTTGGGCTACAATGTGAATGTCCTTAGTTATTTAATTATTAAATTTTTAAATAGGAAATATAATTTTGGACCACCCTGTATTGTTGATTATTATCGTTGATATAAACTCAGTTAAACTAACCAGTACTTGTTGATATTTCAGCCTTCTTCAAATTAACAGACTGAAGGGCTTCCTTAGTAACACTGAAGTTTGGTCGAGAGAGAGGTGTGGGAAGTGGTCCGCTAGGTGGTGGAGGTGCTTTTGGCGTCGTTTCACTGGATTTTGTCTCACTGCTTATGATAGGAGTTATTTCATTGACTAAAGCGTCACTATTCTCTGAGTTTTTAAATACATCCTTTGACTCAGATTTTTGTGGACTGTTTACTGAAGTGAAATCAGTTTTTTGTTGCTGTAATGAAGTTGAATAATTACTAATGGTCAACAATTTACTCTCCGCTTCCTTTCTGGTGGCATTCTTGTCGGTTCCAATAATAACATCTTTAGAAACTTGACCTAGTTTGGAAACGGGAAAAGATGGAGTCTCTTTCTGCGCCAGTTTCTTCAGATACTCTGAAGGCTTTATGTTAGTATCGGAACTTGCCATTGATTCAAACTGTGGCGGGATGAACCCAGATTGTCCGTTTTGAGAAGGTTTTTGTTTCTGGCTTCCTGTTTCTGCCAATGCAGAAGGATGCGTGCTGTCCTTACTAATGTTGACTTCTTCTCTCTTAGAAAGCGCTGACTTTGGACCCTTAAAACTCGCGATCGGTTCATTATCGGGAATAAAATTTGATTTGGGTCTAATCAATTTTTCCGGGGAGTTGATTTGACTGTTTGGAGTTTCTTCCCTCTTTTGGTTGACTCCCAAAAGAGGTGAAAGAAAGGGTGGGGGAGGTGGTGGTGGTGGTGGTGGTGGTGGAGCAGAAGAAGCGGGAAGAGCTGGTATGGAAAGCATCTTTGTTGCATCTTCCATGGAATCCTTTCTAGTAAGTGAGTCGTTTCCATTTCGCTGATTAACTGAAACACTTTTTACTTCTTCTGGTCTTGCTTCGATTTGTTCCTGCGAATTATCAACTTTTTTTCTTTCTTCTTCAGATATGCTTGATTGCAGATCCTCCTTTAATAAAGTCAATCCTTTGTCGGAAACACCACCAGCAGATTCCTCATTATTTTCTTTTTCCGACATTGGAGGCGCGAGCGGTGATCCATTTTCAGAATTTTTTCGTCTTACAGAATTCACTTCAAAAGACTTCGCCGTGTTATTTGTTTCGCTTTGTTCTGGCAGGGAAGCGGGGGGAATACCATTTTCTTCTGGACCTTCCTCTTCAACCTCGTGGTAGATCCCCTCGTCAGTGCTAGTACTGCAAGCTTCGGAAGATGTTAATGATTGTGCTTCCGACGTAGTTGGTTTATCAAGAGAACCATGACGTGCTCTTTGTCCGTCAGTACTTTGTGAACGAGGCACGGGGTCATCGTAATCTGGAACTGGATCACTAACGTCCGACATGCTCATTCCATCATCTGAAGTTGACTGGTGGACATCTATAGTCATTATTTTGAATTAATACAAAGTATAAGTATTTCTAAACGTAGTTAGATACATTATAAAAAAACAATCATGACAGTTGGGTGCACAGTGAAAAACACAAATCTTAGAATCGGCTATTTCTTGTTGTTTTAAATTGACAAACGTGGACCAGAAAAATGCCTCATTGCACTGAATAAAGATTCCTTTTAAGTTCTGCTTAATTAATCATTTTATCGCATACATAACACTTGAAACATATTTCGGGCTTAGAAAAAAACTAATTTAACATTAAACTAAACAAAAAAAAAGATCAGACACTGCCATATAAAAACATGAATGTAAAACGACACTAATGTTTAGTTAACTCCAAATTAAGCTAATTTAATATTAAACTAAAAAAAAAAAGATCAGACACTGCCATATAAAAACATGAATGTAAAAAGACACTAATGTTTAGTTAACTCCAAATTCAACCGTTAGGTTAATTGATTGAGCCGACAATGACGTATTTTAATAGTTTCTTTGTAGCGCTCTCATCCTTTATGGTTTTTTTTTAGAATAAGTAATTCATGATGGTACTTCAGAAAGAAAAAAATCTAGATTTTCAGACATTAGTAAAATCAATCAGCAAAAATGAACCGCTTTATAAATATTTTGAACTCATTGGATCATAAAGTTTTTACACATAAAATAATTTCGGAAAATGCTGAAAGTGCCATGTTGTTTGTTAGAATAATTTAGTTTTGCAATCAAAATCCAGGATTTATAAAACGTATACCGTTTACAAAGTACTTGGATATTAAGACTAAAATTCATAAATCGTCATAAAGCTCTCATTATAAGAATATTGTAAAAGAAAAAAATAGAATAAGAACCCCCACATAAGCGTTCACAAAGTGAAAACATAGGAACAAGTAGTCTAAAAGCACATACCAACTTTGGTAGTAATCGTACTTGACGATTTGGGATTCGAAACCGAAGTGTCCATTCTTAATTTATGCTGTTTATCATCAGTTGGCGTTTCGAATAACTTTTTGACTCGATCGTCAGGCGTCATGTGTGGTTCATGCAGGAAGAAAGGTTCTTGGCTAGCTGCAAGTGGTCTTAATGGAAAAGGTTCTTTATAACTTTCCATGCGAGAGCAACGGGAACTTTCGTCGCTGGCCTTTCTCTGATGACCATTGTTCATTTCTTGATTCCTTAGGTTGACGTATGTCGCGTGACTGTGGTGAGAACACTGGTGGCGACAGTGGTTATGTCCGTGACGATGATGATGGTGCTTCTGACTCTCCTTAGTGGGTGAGCCGTAAAAATGCCAACTGCTCGTAGGGGTTACGGGATGATGGTCCCCGTACCTTTGCGACGTCGCTCCTCCCATGGAGTGGTGACTGCTACCAGTGACGTCTGATGGGTAATCATCGGACCAAGAGGTGGTTTCCTCTGACGTCGTAGATCGACAAGAGCAACCATCAGAATCCTACCAAAAAAAAAACAGAGGGATGTTACAATACATTGAAAGAAATACAAACAGTTTTCAATTTCAAGATTTTTCTGACACAAGCCATCCCTAATTTTGAACCAATGATCAGAAGGAAGGCATCCAATCTGCAACACCCTACACCCACTCTTATAACACATCCACAGCAACGAATGTTTTTCGTATCGCACGGATTCGAACCTGGCTCGCCAGTTCAACAATCCAGAACAATCTACAACAGAGCTTCGAGATTAGGTACTGCTGTAGTTCGTCAGGCTTAGAATTAAAACAACAAAAACCTTTGGTTTGGTATGAAGATTAATCAAAAATCAAAACGTTTTCTGTAATTAAATATATCAACAGCAAATACTTTTTATATAAACTTCTCCTTTTTAGTTGATTATTCACAGTACACTAAACATAGCAATAGCCAAGTGTTTGTATTCACCTGTATAGTTTTATTATTTGATTCTTTAATGTATATTCAATATACCAACATCAAAGAGTATTCAATGTTGGTATTCAATTTCTCACAAACCCCATCGTGCCAATACATACATATTAAAATATTGCAATATACCGTTGAACCCGAAATTCTCTGTCAGATATTTTTATTAAAAATATTTTATGATAATTACAAATCTGTTTCATATAACCTGACACTTAGAAAACCCTAAACTTTAGACTTTTTTTTTTAAAGTGCTTACACATATTTACCCTTCTTATATGGCTGGATGATGGTGGACCACGATGAGGCTGTAGACGGCAGGAGGTGCAGTAACGATTTATAGGTAGGAGAGGTATTCCTTCTGGGGGAGTGGCTAATGCTGGTATCGCCGCCTGGTGTCTAGGATCAGAAGCATGTGCCACCAAAAGAGCAAGACACTAGAAAAAGTTGAAGTTGGATTTTTACGAAACAATAAGGAAAATAATTTCACGAAAACTTGGTTTCCTGTTTTCATAATTATTGTGCATATTATGAAATATACCTGAAATAATTTTCTTACGTTGAATATTTTATTTCTTGTATTTAACTCTACTCTCATAGTCTGGTTAGTTCTCAAATAAGTTTGGTTTGTTACGATCTTCATGAACACCTCAAATATACCCTAGTCACTAGGGTAATGGAAACTGTCCATTTGAAAGTTTCTTTTGTCCTACCCTCTATTCAAGAACAGAGCTTCTCTCAATTTAAAACTTTCACTAAACAACAACGGTGATCATTAAAATTTAGATGTATTAACCACGATTTAGCTTTTTCTTTTTTTCTAAAATTAAACGCTTTACATAAATACTTTACTATAACCTATAAAAGAAGCTTCAGCCGTCGAAATTGTACGTGAAGCACGTGACATATTACCTCATACGTGTTTGTTTGTTTTTTGAATTTCGCGCAAAGCTACACGAAGGCTATATGCGCTAGCCGTCCCTAATTTAGCAGTGTAAGACTAGAGGGAAGGCAGCTAGTCGTCATCACCCACCGCCAATCTTGGCGTACTCTTTTACCAACGAATAGTGGGATTGATCGTCACATTATAACGCCCCCACGGCTGAAAGGGCGAGCATTTTTAGTGTGACGGAGATTCGAACCCGCGACCCGCAGATTACGAGTCGAGCGCCCTAACCACCTGGCCATGCCGGGCCATCTCAAAAGAGATGAAAACATTTGATAAGGCCAAATTGTTATAAATATCTAATAACCTACTTAGTTATTTTCTTGTTGCTAATGCATGTATAGATTTAATAAAATCAGTTGACGACTCCAACGTTTCTTAACGTGTAAATGCACAATAATTTATTGTATAAAGTTAAAAACAATATATAAAAACTGTACATGTTTCTGTTTTAGTTTTGTATTGCTTTTAACATTATACAATAAGTATTGTGCATTTTTAAAAATGTTGGAGTTGTCAATTGATTTTATTAAATACGCTGCCCAAAACATGTCAGTCGAATATATTGGATATGTCTACGTATTTTATACGTTCTCTTTCTTTACTATGAAAAACGGCACTTCATTGTATAGCTGGATATGATGTAATCCAGAGATAAATAATTAATTATATTATTGTTAATCAAATCGTTTTAGTTTTACCCTTCCACCACGGCAAACTAATTTTGACCCCTTTAGGCCTAATTCATTGTTTAATTTAAGCGTGTATACATTTAGAAAGTGATCAGTTTTCTATCATAATTCTTATAAAAACAATCTTTATTTATAATTAGAAATAGGCAGAGAGAGAGAGAGAATACATCTCTGTTTTTAGCTCTTGTTTCATTTTATTGTTGTTGTTTTTAAACTAGAAAATAGTTGCTTAATGTGTAAAATATTGCGCCCCGAACGGATTTATAGTGAATGATTTGTAGACCACGCGATTTCCCGCTGAAGGTTTCCTTTCAAAACACATTTATTAAGTGGTTATGAATAATATTCTAGGAAATGCGTGATTCCTGCTACGATTAAAGCATTCACGTGAACAGTCACTCTCAATTGTTTTGTTTCCAGTAAGTTCAAAGGTAAAAAGTAGTACATTTCTACCGATTACAACATTTACACGTCATTACTTATGTTCTTTTGATAACCGCCAGTCAAATCACATTGGTTCGGTTTCGTTTGGAATTTTGTGCAAAGCTACTCAAGGGTTATCTGCGCTAACCGTCCCTAGTTAGCAGTGATAGACTAGAGGGAAGGCAACAACACCCACCGCCAACTCTTGGGCTACTCTTTTACCAACATTGAGAGGGCGAGGATGTTCGATAATGAGGATTCGAACCCGCGACCCGTAGATTGCGAGTCGAGCACCCTAACCACTCGGCCACGCCTAATCCCGTTGTTAATACCATTATTATTAACCAATTAAAGAAGACATTAATTTATTCTTTAAATTACCAACTTGTTTATATACCGTCCACTTTTGGTGGGGGTTTACAAATTGTATCGTATTAAGGAATTTTAATGCTATATCTGTCACAACACCCAGTCTAAAAACTGACAAAATAAAATGGGTTAAAATCACTCATTGTTATGTAAAACGTAGAAAACCTAAATAGTAATTAGTAGGACTATATACAATATTATCATTAACTACTGATCAGAACTAGGAAATATTAACCACAGTAATCAATACAGTTAATTTAATATATGCAAAACCATAAAACAAAAACTTATAATGATTAAAATGCATTGACTCATCAGTTGACGTAATTTGTTTTAAATTTTTTTGTGACTCCTATATTGTTAAGGGGTTCATATAGCTACCAAAATGATGTAGTTTAGAAAAATGTGTAAAAAAAAACCCGAAGGGGTCATTATTGGACCGCTTCAATAATTCTAGGGTCAATTAATTGTATATCAAAATGTGTAGACGTTTTAAATTTCCTTAGCTAAAGGTATGTGATTAGAAATAGGCTAAAATGTCGTTTTGGATTTTCATATCACTGTAGGTGTTGTTTTTCCACTATTTGGCTAAAAGAAATTTGTCTTAAAAATCTCACTAGACATTTTTAAAATTATCATAGAATGAATAAAAATACCTTCTATTTGCAAAGAGATTAATTAGAGTGAAACCACATTCGAAAGAACTGTATGTACGAATTACTTGAAGTTTTTATAAGACAGGATTAAGGAAAAATATAAAGTCAATTCCATACCTCCATTTGTTCATTTTCTGCTGCGTCGTTCAGTGGACTTTTCCCGAAATTATCTAATAAAATTCGACCTCCATGCCTCAAAAGCCAACGCAGTGTCTCGACATGCCCTCTACTGGCAGCAAAATGAACTGGTGTTGCACCATCTTTGTCTTTCATGTTAGGATCCACTCCCTGTTCGTCTACCTATAAGTGGAAAACGATGTGTTTATACCACCAGAGTGTGACAATTTATGTTTCTAAAATTGAGGCTACAAATTTGAAACCAATCTCGCAAGTGAGGAGTTTGGAGTATTGATAGTTTTTGAGCTTATCTTTCTAGTCGAGGAACTCGTTCAATATTGTAAGCATGATGGTTTAATTTTTACATAGAGCTCCTTTTTCAAAATTTAGACTTTTTGTCTACTATTGATGCTACGACTATGTGGTTTACATAAAGCATGTAGGAGTCTGGGACATTACTTTATGGACAGCTTACGACATGGACTTTTTGTTACGAAAAAAATGTTGTTACGACATCCAAGTTACCATCACACCATTCCAAAAGGTTTCGTTACAAGTGTTTTTTGTGATTGGAGTATTTTGTTACTAGGTTCATCAATACCTAATTCAAGTACCAGAGGACCCCACCTTACCCATCTCCCGTTATTAAAGGTGTTTTGAATCCAAATGAAAGTATATGAAATTACAATAAATGTTTGTGAAAACCTAAATCGGTTGCACTGCAATTTATGCTTTATGTAATACTGTTCATGACAACCCCTACCCCCTGTAATAAATCACAATACAGGCTTAGACATCCTCTCAAAACCATAGCATTATGTTATTTTTTAATGGTTTCCAAATAATTGTACAATTTACGATCTGTTATCATTTTTTATTCTTGTCACCAATTAATTTTATATTTAAAAACTACCTGTCACAAAATCAATGTTAGTAACAAATATTGTCATGTCACAAAAATTATGTAACAATAATGCACCTATCACAAGTTGTCCTGGAAACAACGAAATGTCTAGTAACTAATTGTTCACAACAAAATGTCCGGATTCCATATGTAGATATGTAATGTGAGCCATAGATATCTATGACGTGAGCCACAAGAAATGGTGTTAAATATTCCTTACCTGATGTGTTGTTAAATAAAATTGATGAAGAATTACACTACACCAACTTAATCCAATTCAAACTATAATAATTGTTTTCAAGTGATTTGCTAGTATAAATGTCGTCAGTGTTGGATATACAAGACTGTTCAGTTTAAGAGTTATTATTTAGTGATTTAATATCTAATGATTATCTAGTTTCATAAAAAGAGTCTGAAAAGTTAATAATTTTAAAAGCGATAGTTATAAAAAGTTTCATTACATAACTCTGTAAGAGTCGTACGTTGTGTATGCAGTTTAATTGTTTTGTAATACTGTTGACGTCATCTCGAAGCTTGTTTGTTTTTTGTTTTTTGAATTTCGCGCAAAGCTACACGAGGGCTATCTGCGCTAGCCGTCCCTAATTTAGCAGTGTAAGACTAGAGGGAAGGCAGTTAGTCATCACCACCCACCGCCAACTCTTGGGCTACTCTTTTACCAACGAATAGTGGGATTGATCGTCACATTATAACGCCCCCACGGTTGAAAGGGCGAGCATGATTGGTGTGACGGGGATTCGAACCCGCGACCCGCAGATTGCGAGTCGAGTGCCCTAACCACCTGGTCACGCCGGGCCTACCTCATACGTGAGCTACTAAAATTAAAAAGTTTAGTGTTTAATTGTTTGTAATTAAGCACAAAGCTACACAATGGGCTATCTGTGCTCTGCCCACCACGGGTATCGAAACCCGGATTCTGGCGCTGTAAGTTCGCAGACATACCGCTGGGCCACACTGGGGGGGGGGGGGTAGTGTTTAACAATTTTTTTTTCAAATATTCTAAACAAAAAAGACGAAGTTTACTATTTTTCAAAAAAGTGAATTTTTTAAAAATTAGTTAATGATAATCTCTCTTCAAATATTCAAAATTCTCAAAGTTAATTATTTCGTGTGGTCTAAATTCAACAAGAAAAATGTGTTTCATTTTAGAGTATATTAATTATTTGCTTTTGTTACGTACAGTAGAATAAAGAGCAATTACTGACTTGTTTCTATAATTACAGAAAGATATAAAAATTACTTTCGGTTACTGAACTGTTTTCAATAGTTATGGAAATTTCGGTGTCTAAGATATTATATTTAAGTTAGCTTACGTTGTTTTTAACATTACAAGTGGCACGAAAAATATTGAGTATCACTATATAAGTAAAAAGCATCTATATTTCTGGTATTAACCATCTTGAGTATTTGAAATAAGGCCTAATTTGATTTTTCAAAAGGACTCTTCCTACGCCCTCTGGTTGGATAGGAATAAAAACTTGAAAATGGCGAATGAAATTACGTTTAAATCCATTACAAAGTGAACGTGAGCGTTATGTATATATCAATATGAACTAGAACATTTTCTGTTATCACAATCATATATATCAATATGAACTAGAACATTTTCTGTTATCGCAATCATGTATATATCAATATGAACTAGAACATTTTCTGTTATCACAATCATATATATCAATATGAACTAGAACATTTTCTGTTATCGCAATCATATATATCAATATGAACTAGAACATTTTCTGTTATCGCAATCATATATATTAATATGAACTAGAACATTTTCTGTTATCGCAATCATCAACTGTTATGATTTATATCACATTCTCTGGTATTTTCAGTTTTATACGATATGGAATATCGTTAATAATACAATACAATACAATAATAATATAACACAATATCGTTAATAAACTGGTGAAAGAAAATATGACAACAATCGCCAGTAAAATAAAAGTATTATAATCACGTAAAGTTCGGCATCAACAACAAACAATTATTTTACAGCCACTGAAATATATATAGATGTAAAATAGTCTTTAAAGTATGTACATACCATCCATTTTAGACATTTTAAAGCTCCCATCTGGGCAGCAGCATGGATTGGCGCCATTCCATCTACTGCTCGCAAGGAAAGTGAGCCACCAGCGACTGTCACCAAATACTTGAGAACGTCCAAATGTCCTTCTTGGGCCGCCAAATAGACGGGAGTGACATTGTTCTCCATTTGTGCATTGGCGCTGTTAAAATAACCAAACAGCATGACATTCTTATAATATACTAACACAAACTGTTTCTTCTTCTACCTTGTTGAAGCTTCGCAAATAAGGCTTGTGATACAGAAGAAAATAACACAACTTGTAGTATTGTATGAACACAATATCGTTAATAACATAAAAGTGTTATAATTTGGTAATATCTATGTCCCAATAACCCTTATTGTTATTATTACATAAAGAAAATATTGAAAACTTGTACTTTACATTCTCTATTTGTATTTATGGTAAAGCGGCTAAGGCTATCCGACCCCGTCCCTAATATTGGACGTATCTTTTCGAAACAACTTCGACACAAGTTTTCGTTTGTTAATTGATAAATTTTTAAGGTCTACCCGCTAGGAGTCAGTTCAGTATATATCAGTAAAGCCACATTCTCAGTATTATTAATTAAGCAATTGCCAACCTTTTATGCTTCTGCTATCACCTTTTTATGTTTAGCTTTCAACTGAGATACGAACAATTTTACCTGCGATTCGATAGGGAAGGTCAAAGCATCACGATAGTCAGCAGTAGGATGAGCAGACAGGAACACTTTGAAAGCAGCTACAGTCATAATATTGTACTCGGCTTGCTGCACAATATCTACCAAAGTGGTTCTAAACGGTCCCTGAATAACTCTGCGTGTCATTTGGAGACTTCCATGCTTCATGTGCTTAACCGTTAAGCTCCTGATGCGCTGACGGATTTCAGTCACCTTACCACTTTAAATGACTTTTCGCAGTCCCGACGCTAAAAGTGCGCGGAAAATGCCTCCTTTTTAGCCAATACAAATGCCCCCAAAATATCAGTTCAAATTAAGAAAAACCGGATTAAGCAGTTGCTTTTTTTTCAACAAAAATGTCCCCCACTAGCTCGTGAGGGGTCCTGTTAAAACTTTTCTGTAATTGTACAGCTTACTAAGTTTTGTAAATAACTATATTGTATTTCTATATATTTCATATTTATAAGTTGGTACAAAAAAAAACCGTGTGTCGGTACCGCCCCCATAATTATTTGCCAGTACTGCGTAATGTGGGTGAAGTTTACCCTCTGATTATAAAACAACAGTGTTTGATTGATTATCTTTTCCAGAACAGTTGGAAACAACACTATTCAAGACAAACCGTGTATGAGGGCACTTTTTAGAATAAAAAATAAAGACAATTAAAATAGTTCTAAATTATTATGCGTGATGTTGTTGTTTGAAGCTACACAATGGGCTATCTGTGCTCTGACCACCACGGGTATCGAAACCTGGTTTCTAGCGTTATAAGTCCCCAGACATAACGCTGTGTTACTGGGGGTCATTTATGATGGTCCATTATGCATGATGATATTCTCTTTGGAATTCAAACAACTAATGTTCATTTTGACCATAAATTTATGAAAAACCTCAGTCAGTGTACTTTAGAGAATTCATTTTCCTTTTATTTAGCAAATGTAAAGCAATAGATGGATGATATTTATATATATATATATATCTTTCTCAAGAAATCCATGCGTCCCTCAATATTCACCAATGATGAGGATAGATTCCAAGATCTTGATGCAGACATTTGTTTGAGGGAGAAAAAGACAATGAAAAACCTTCGTAAGCTTAAAACCAACAACAATAATTAAATAAGAGGGTAAGCATATAGAGAATCAAACCTGTTTCAGATATTAGCATATAAAGAATCAAGCATGTTTCAGATATTAGCATATAGAGAATCAAGCATGTTTCAGATATTAGCATAT